GACAGAGTGAGACCCTGTCTCAAAAAAAGAAAAATATAACCAGATACTGCGATCGCTCTCCTGATTTTGGGTTCTTATGAAGGTGCTTTCATGTGGATAGTTGTTCAATTTGGTGTTCCTGCAGAGGTGACCATTACTGAAGGATTCTATTTGGCTATCTTACACCACCTCCTCCAAACCATTCACTATAACTGTTTTGTCTGGCATGGTCATGTAAGGCAAGAAAAAACCCAAGCACTGGTACAAGCGGGTGTCCTAAATGAGACATTTAGACCAGTGCCTTTCAAACCTGGCTATGTATTTCAATCACCTGGGGAGCTTTTTAAAAAAAAACATGATGCTTCAGCCCCACCCCAGATCTATGGAATCAAACACTGAGAGAATGAGGCCCGGTGTTACAGGGTTTAAAAGCTCTACAGGTGGCTGGGCGCAGTGGCTTATGTCTGTAATCCCAGCACTTTCGGAGGCCGAGGCCAGGCGGATCACCTGAAGTCAGGAGTTCGAGACCAGCCTGGCCAACATAGTAAAATCACATCTCTACTAAAAATACAAAAATTGGCTGAGTGTGGTGGTGGGTGCCTGTAATCCCAGCTATGCAGGAGGCTGAGGCAGGAGAATCACTTGAACCTGGGAGGCAAAGGGTGCAGTGAGCCAAGATGGTGCAACTGTACTCCAGTCTAAAAAAAAAAAAAGCTCTATAGGTGATCATGGAGAACAGTGAAGAACAGTGAATACTAAGAACCAATAACTAGAATCACCTGGGGAGTTTTCAAACCTACTGACAAGGGATCTGGCGGTTCAAAAACTTTGGTCTGGAAAGAAGCTATGGAATCTATAGTTCCCCCCACCCCCCTCCTTTTTTTTTTTTGAGACAGAGTCTCACTCTGTCACCCAGACTGGAGTGCAGTGGTACAGTGGTGTGATCATGGCTCGCTGCAGCCTTGATTGCCCAGGCTCTAGCAATCCTCCCACCTTAGCCTTCCAAGTAGCTGGGACTACAGGTATGTAGCACCACACCCAGCTAGCTAGCTCATGGAATCCCTATCGTTACAAGCTCACCAAATGATGCTGAGACACAATCAGGCATGAGTTTCAAGGCTCTCCAGGGCAGTGGTACTCAAGCTTTAAAGTGCAGAAGAATCACCTCAGGATTTTGTTAGCTGTAGGGAGTTTGTTAAACATGCAAATGCTTGTGTCCCAAGCATAGAAGTTTTGATTCATTTGGTCTGGGTTAGGCCTTAACAATCACCCCCATGTAATTCTCAATTATATGGTGCCCAGAACATGCTTTATGAAACACTCCACTAGGGATACAGAGATGAATTAGACTCAGTACCTGTTCTTAGTGTGTTTATACATTAATAGAGGAAATGAGAAATGTAATTGTCAGAGAAGAACTCCTTACAGTACCTAGAGTTTGCCAACAATAGAATGCATTAACTGAAGGAACTGGTAAGGTTTGAAGTAAAAAAAAAAAGGAAACTAAGGAAATTTTTTTTTTCTCTGACAGGGAAAAATATATAGTGCTTTTCTTAATGCAAGAAACTCTAATATTACCTTTAGAGTTTTAACCTATTCATTTTTTTTTTTTTTTTTTGAGACGGAGTCTTGCTCTGTCGCCCAGACTGGAGTGCAATGGCACTATATTGGCTCGCTGCAACCTCCGCCTCCTGGGTTCAAGCGATTCTCCTGCTTCAGCCTCCTGAGTAGTTGGGATTACAGGTGCTCATCATCACGCCTGGCCACTTTTTGTATTTTTAGTGGAGACAGGGTTTCATTATGTTGGCCAGGCTGGTCTCAAACTCCTGATCTTAGGTGATCTGCCCACCTCAGCCTCCCAAAATGCTGGGATTATAGGCCTGAGCCACCACGCCTGGCCCACTTATTATTTTTAAGTAATCTAATACAGATATAGCAAATATCATATCAAAGTTGTGACTGAAAATTATCTGAAAGCCATAATTTAAAAGTTCATTGCCTAACATGAAATCAGAAAAGATGTTATGAAAATCACATTAAAACATAATAACATATACATATACACACATATATATGTATTCTCATTTCCAAAGACCAGAAAGCATATTACTAACTTTTCACATTAATGATTCATTTTGGCAATCCTATGGAAAATGTCACATGCAGATCTACGACTATAAATAAGAAGTTATTGATTCTAGTTTTAGGGTTCCCAGGTATGGGTATAGAGAATGTATTATGTCATTTTGCTCCTAATGTGGGAAGAGAGCTAGGCTAGAGCAGTCACTTCAACAGACTGGCACGCATATAAAGGCTGCTATTTTTTGTTTGTTTTTGAGACAGAGTCTAGTTCTGTCACCAGACTGCAGTGCAGTGGCACAATCTTGGCTCACTGCAACCTCCACCTCCCAGGTTCAAGTGATTCTCCTGCCTCAGCCTCCCAAGTAGCTGGAATTACAGGCACGCACCGTCACGCCCCGTCACGCCCAGCTAATTTTTGTATTTTTATTAGAAATGGAATTTCACCATGTTGGCCAGGCTGGTCTTGAACTGCTAACCTCAGGTGATGCCCACGCCTCAGCCTCCCAAAGTGCTGGGATTACAGGCGTGAGTCACCACACCCAGCCAAGGCTGCCGTTTTCAACTGCGTTTCCATGGGAGCTGAATGAGGTATGGAATTCCCTATGAGATTTTATCTTCTGGCTATAGCTTTTCAAAAGAAAATGTATCTGAGTCTAGCACTGTTTCTTGGAAGAGGTATGTGGGAGACGACTTCATACCCTTATCTGCAGTAACAAACACCGTAAACATTTATTGAACACCTACTGTGTGTGTGGTAATGCAGACATCCTCCTTCATATAGCTTTTGTTTTAGTTGGAGAGACAAGGCAAGCACAAAAAGAGGTGAAGGACCAGCTCAACAGACCATGTGGTCAACAAGAAAGAGAGAAGTGCTGGGCATGGTGGCTCATGCCTGTAATCCCAGCACTTTGGGAGGCTGAGGCAGGAAGATTACCTGAGGTCAGGAGTTTGAGACCAGCCTGGTCAACATGGTGAAACCCCATCTCTACTAAAAATACAAAAAATTAGCTGGGTGTGGTTGTGCGTGCCTGTAATCCCAGCTACTCGGGAGGCTAAGGCAGGAGAATTGCTTGAACTCAGGACGTAGAGGTTGTAGTGAGCCAAGATCATGCCACTGCACTCTAGCCTGGGCGACAGATCAAGACTCAGTCTCAAAGAAAAAGAGAGAAGTGAGAAGTAGATAGGCCAGAGAAGGGTTCCTAAACAGTACTTGAGCTGGGTATTGAAGAAAGGGTGGGAGAGAAGGGCCTTCTGTTCACCTGTTCATTTATCAGATTAATTCAATGATGACTGTGCTTGGCATCACAAATATAATGGTGAATAAATTTCAATAAAATTGAAAGCGTCCCTGTCCTGTTGCAGTTTATAACCCAGACAAATAAATCATGGAATTTACAACACTGTAATATGTGCTATAACAATGGTAAGCCCAGAAGAAAGGTACCCTATCCAGATCGCTGGTGGTGTGTGGAAAAACTCTAGAATAAATAAGATCAAAATTGATATTTTAAAAAATAGGCATTAACTAAGCAAAGAGTAGAAATGTTCTAAGCAGAGAGAACGGCATCCTGTAAAAGCCCAGGGAAAGAGGGAGCATGACATTGACATAGAATGGGAGAAGTAGGGGCAAAGGACCTAAGGGAAGAACAAATTGGGTATGTACCAGGGACAGTGTGGACACCCGTCAGGTTACAGCGCTAGAAGATAGGTCTGACAGGTTAGAAGGTGAAGGAGTCTGTATTATATCTGGGACCCGTGGATACTCACTAAAGGTTACTGAGCCAGGAGAAGACAGCATGGGTAAAGCAATGATTTAGGAAGATAGTCCCTAAGTATGGGCAGGGTGGCAGGATGCTTCAGTAGGATTTCTCCGAGCAGGCTCTAGTCAGGGTTCAACAAATTATTTGATCTAACTATATTTCCCTACTTTGTGATTACTTTTCCTCTCTTCCCTGCTGCAAAGTACTTCCCAGCAGGATAGACAACTGTATGAAATCGGAACTGACTCTACGCCTGTTAGAGGAGTATGGAGTTTCCATCTAAGTGATTGCTTCTCTTATTTTCCCCTGTGCGTAGTACTTCCCAGTAAGACAGACCATTGTATGAAATCGGAACTGACTACACTTTTGTTAGATAAGTATGAACTTTCCATCTATGACCTGAATGGAGACCTGAAGGGCCGAGAAGCATGGCCAAACTACTACGCACAAGCACATGGGCTTGTTTTTGTCCTGGATTCCAGTGATATAAGACGCATGCAGGACGTGAGGATCATCTTAACACATCTGCTGCCTGATAAAAGAGTGGCAGGGAAACCCATCTTACTGTAAGATTCTGCCTTTGTCCTATTTTCCTTTCCCAATTTGCACCCTCAAAAGTATAGAAATGAAGGGTGAGGTGGTCCCTTTGTCACACCCAGCTATGCCTCCTGTTCCCTTAGGCTCAGTGAGGTAGAGCAGCCCAGTTCTCTGTGGGCTGTTCTCAAGAGCTACTTTCTACCACACATTGCCATGGGGGGCATATTACCTAACTGTACAAAAGCAATTTTAAAGGAAAGCATCAAAGGGAAATGAAAAGTGGTATCCACCACCATCACCCGTTGACTCTTCCTGAAGACTACCTTCCTGAATTTGCTTATCATCTTTTTCAGGCTCTGATCCTGAAACTCATGATGGCAGAGAACCCCTATCTTGTATAATTGAGGCCAATGACCTCCTCTGATCAGATTGCTCAAAAGTTACATAACTAGCACTTATTCCAGGGAGATAATGCAGGTGGCCAATTTTCATCCCTGCCCCCAACTTCCTTTATGCCTCTTTCATTCCTCATTAGCAACCCCAATTAGAGCATGAACAGAATTTGGGAAACGATGTAAAAACTCCAAATCTGTTCATAGCCCAGTTAGCAATTATAATTAAAGAAGTTTGATAGCATAATGTAGGGGAAGTGAGAAATGAGCCCTGGGGGGACTATCTTGGATTCAAATGATTTGTGCTATACTTTCCTTCATTTGGAGTTGGCTAGAAAAATGTCTAGTTCATCTGATTAGGTATGTCTTTAAACTTAATTCCTGGATATTTAGCAGTTATAGTAGAATTTGTTCTCCTCCTCTTTCCCTTTTTTTCTCGCCTTTTGCTTCTATTTTGGTTTCAGTCTTTCACTCTTTTTTCCTCCCTCTCTCATATGCCGTTTTAGCCTAGCAAACAAACAGGACAAGAAGAAGGCCCTCATGCCTGGTGATATTATTGATTATCTGTTTCTAGACAAGCTTGTGAAAGAGAATAAATGCCCATGCCGATTGGTAAGTGTCAACCCCTTTCTTCCCTCTTCCTCTAGAGCCCAGCTAATGCAGCCCTTGGCTCCTTCTATAATCAGCCCCGTATGTTGGGTTTGAGGCAAAGCCTCTCCCTGTCAGGCGACACCCACAGTGATTCCTGACTTGATGGTGGTAACAAATATTGCATTCTGCCTTCGAAATAGCTCTGTAAAGTGGACACGTGATTATCTCCATTTTATGGATAAAAAAGTCAAGGCTCAGAGACTCTATGTGACTTGCTCAAGGTCACACATCCAAGACACCACAACCACTTTATTAAAGGACCTCATCTTTCGTGTCTGTCATTTACCTTCTCAGATGTGAATGCTGAGTGGCTCCTAGAAGTCTCAGAGCCTCTCTAGGCATAGCAGAGCTTATGTGTTCCTCCACTCTTTGAATAAGAGTGACTGGTTCTGCTGGTCCCAGAGATCCCAGGCTCCAGGTCTGCAGCCTTCTCTTCTCTTTTGTCACAGGAGCCATGTTCAGCCATCAGCAATCTTGACAGAAGAAACCATCAGCCCATAGTTGAAGGACTGCGCTGGCTGTTAGCTGTCATTGCTACTCGCCAACTACCACCCACCTTGAGCATCCCAATCTCCAAGGAAAACAGAGGCTCTGGAGAAAGATGCTCTTCAAGCAGGTACTGAGATGCCTCTATGAGATTTACTGATAAGAAAAGCAGCGGGGGTCAGCCTTCCTCACAAGCTAGGTGTTCTGGGAGGTGCTTGGATTCTGGGTGACATTGAGCAAGTCTCTTGATATCAGTTGGCTCAAATGGGGCTAGGGCAATGCCCACCAACAATCCAACATTGTTAGGTATACCCCATCCCTAGCATAACTTGAGTGGTCATGTGAGGGGAATGATTTTAATAAAAGTAAGCCAACCTATCAGCATTAGAGCTTCTCTAAAACAGGGTTACTAATCTCTAATTAGAGAAGAGAAATGTGGAGGAGAAGAGGAACATGATCCCCTTAAGGAGCCTACTGGCATTATTCTATGGATGAATGTCATGTACCTACTCTGTATTCTCAGCCTCTAGTTCTATAATCCTCCCAATAATGAGGAATGATGGGAGAGGACAGAAATGTTGAAAAGAGGAAAAAGAAAATAGTAGGTGATCAGAGTTTTGAGGAGCAAAAGGCCTAAATATCCCCGTGCTCTGTTGTCATTTTCATTGCCCAAAGGCATATGGCAGGGATGGGGTAGTAGCTCCATAGATAAATAAGCTTAGAGTGTGTCTGTTTCTACTACTGCTGTCCTTTCCATCTTCTTCCAGCTTCTCCACCAGAAGTGAAATGCCAAAGAAGAAAAGGCAGCATCTAGAACAATATTCAGTAGAAGCTAAGCCTCTAAAGTCAATCCTACAGGTAAATGGCTCTTTAAATGCTAATACTCAGTGGCCAGTCCCTGCAACACATGGGCACCAACTGACTTTTTCCCCCTATCTTCTTGCTGTACAGAAAGAAGGTACAAGATTACGGCCTAAAAAGAATATGTCAGTAACATTTGCTTTACATGATGAACCCATGAAAGAAGCTGAACATTCTAGAAGAACTAGAACTCAGAATACTATGGAGCTTTGCTACAAACGAAGCTCCATATGTTGATGACAATATTTTTTAAGGTAATGTTGGATCAGTGGTTAGAGAAGAAAATGTACATAGGCCTTCCCTAACAATTTCTACAATAGTATTCCAATTTCGAGCCTGAAATTCTTTCCTCACTCTATGGTTGGTGATTAGAAGAGAAATAGAAGTACAGGAAGAGTGCTTGGATACCATCTTCTGGTAGTCCAGTATGATGTCCCAGCACTGGCTGACACAAGATCTGTAGATGGCTATAGGATGTTATCTTAAAGTTCATGATTCCTGTGGTGGAAATATAAGTACTTTAAAAACATGAACACACTATGAACCAGTAATCCCAATTCTTGAGCTGTCTCCAAAGATAATTACACAAGTACCACAAAAATGATGCTCAAGGATGTTTAATCACAGCACTATGTACAGTAACTAAAAGTGGGAAACAGCCTATATGTCCAATAATGGAGAATGGATAAATAAATTAGGATGCATCTATACCATGGAATACTATGCATACATTAAAAAGGCTAATGTGGACTTATATTTACTGACGTGGAAAGTTTCCCACAACCTGGCATTTTTGTAAGGGAAAATAGCAACTTAGAGTACAGCATGTATAGCATGATACATATACAGATATAGAGATATCTGGAGGGATATCACCAAAAGATACTAGGTAATTGTGAGATGTAAAAGGCCTAGGTGCTGTACTTTTGGATTTTTATTAGAAATTTTCTTTTTTTATAATAAGCAGATATCATTTCTCCTAATACAAAAAAGGCATTTTTTAAAAAGCTATGAGGGCTTAGAGGCTGTAGTTACTGGTCACTCCTTCTCAGTATTCCTTAGGACCCCAGTCTCCAAGATTGTCAACTATCAATATTATAATGTCACCTCAGCTCTGAAAGGGACATGGCCTTTCATACTCCTGGCTACCTTGGAGCCTTGGGTTGTTACACCTACATAGACAGTGTTGGACTTGGCGTGGGCCACTAACGAGGTGACACACACTGCTCTGAGGACAAGGGGTGAAGATGAGAGTAGAGTAGAGTGGAAGGCAGTGGTAGAAGAGGAAGTGTTTTTTTAGATATCAGTAACTACCCCTAAATCTTTGTCCAAAATTTAAATCCATTTTCCTTTCTATAACCCCAGAACTTAGTACAAAAATGAGAATGGATACCTGGGACACAGAAGAGATGTTACTAGAAAATTCGTGTGAAGAAGCTTTTGGTTCCTATAGTTAGTACTCCTTAAATGAAGGGCAGAGGGGAGAGAGCAACAGTGAGAGAAAGTACGAGGCCAGGGGAGAGGATAGGTGGAGTGCAGTCTATACCCTGTTGGAAACTGGCCAATACCCTCCTACCCTGAAATGGTGTGGGAAGCACAGGAAACCTGGCACTTGGCTTCACTTACAATAACTGGCCTTTTTCTCTTTTTACTTTCAACAGACTACTAAAAACAGTGGGAAATCAAAAGAAACATCTGATATCCCTCCCTCAGCAAACAGGTTCATCTCCAGAACTATCACGACTACTCAGTTTTTAAATTTCTATTTGATAATGTCTCTACACTCCCCATACAACTCCACCTACTCATCCTTGAGAACCCCTGTTATTCCTGTATATCTGTATTCTAGCCATCAAATCAATCCTATACTCAGTGAGAGGCTCAAGAAAAGTGAGATGGCATCCATTGAGAATGAAGACCATCTTCGTAAAAAAGAACAGGGACTTTACATCTTTGTACCCAGACGTTGCTGACAAAGCTTGTGGACAATAAGTCAGGGGTGATCAACCAAAATTGAGCCTTAGAAATACACATTTTTTCTTTAAGGTTCTTGGGCAGAAAAGGAGTGGCAAAAATAAATAGAATTTATTTGCTGAGAATTATGCTGTAATGAATCATTTTCAGTCACACCTCCATAAATAACTTTGTTTTAAAGCCCCAGCCACTGTCTGTGAAGCCCAGAACAATTGCTTTGCTGTTCCCAGGAACGGCAACTGCTGCCTCTACTAACATTTTGGTTAGCTATGCAAAAAATACAGGCACTTGAATGCATTCACCCCTCTATCCCAAGGGTGGTAGTGGTAGTGGTGGTAGTTATTTACTATTACTACCACTATAGGTTGAGTATCCCTTATCTGAAATGCTTGGGACTGAAAGCATTTCAGATTTCAGATTTATTTTGATTTGAGAATATTTGCATTATATGTACTTACTAGTTAAGCATCCCTAAATCCAAAAATTTCTAATTTTCAAGGATTTTGGATTTTGAGATTAGGGATGCTCAATCTGTATTACTTTCACCATAGCAATGCAGCCACCATTTATTGAGTGATTCTGGATGCCAGGCCAGTGCTAAGTTCTTTATATCTATTATGTTATTCACAACAACCCTTGGGGGTAAGTATATACCTGATGGCATTTCACGGATGAGGAAACTAAGCGGCAGAAAAGTCAAATAAACTTGCCCAAGATCCCACAGCCTACAAAAAGCAGAGCAGGATGTTCTCACTCATATATGGGGGATTAAAAAAGTAGATCTCATGAAGATAGAGAATAGACTGGCAGTTACCAGAGGACAGGAAAGTGCGGGGTGGTGGGGGAATGAAGAGAAGTTGATTAATGGAAACACATATACAATATGATAGATTGGTAGGGTGACTATAGTTTATAATAATCTATTGTATATTTCAAACTAGCTAGAAGAGAATAACCCAAATGTTCTAGCATAAAGACAAATATTTAAGGTGATGGATATCCCAATTACACTGATTTGATCTTCATAAATTATATGAATGTATTAAATTATCCTATGTACCAACAAAATGTGTACATCTATTATATATCGATTTATAAATTAAATTGAATTTTAAAATTTGGAGGAGAGAAGGAAAAAAAAAGTAGAGCAGGGAATTCAATCCCGATATTTCTGACTCTAGAGCAATTTAAAGCCAGAAAGAAAGAGAAAGCTGTATCTAAGAAAAAATGCTGGCCGGGTGCAGTGGCTTATGCCTAGCACTTTGGGAGGCCAAGGCAGGTGGATCACTAGAGGTCAGGAGTTCAATACCAGCCTGGCAAATACGGTGAAACACCATCTCTACTAAAAATACAAAAATTAAGGCCAGGCACGGTGGCTCACGCCTGTAATCCCAGCACTCTGGGAGGCCGAGGCGGGCAGATCACCTGAGGTCAGGAGTTCAAGATCAGCCTGACCAACATGGTGAAACTCC